CCTCGCCATGTTCAGTCCCGGCGCCAGCGTGGCCCTGCGGGTGTGTGCCGTGGGCCTGCGCCCCGAGGTGCCCGTTGTGCGGCTGTGGGGGCGCCTGGGTGAGCGCAGCTCGGAGTACGTCCAACTCCGCCGTGAGATCCAGGCGGCGGCGGGGCCGCGGCTGGCACCTGCCCCGGGTCCCGGTGGGCCGGTGGCTGGTGGGGATGAGCTGTGCCCTGGGGACGTGGGCCTGGTGGAGGTGCTCGGGCTCTGGTACCGCTGCTGTGTGGTGAGTCGCCGTGGCCAGGACTACCGTGTGTTCCTGCTCGATGAGGGCTGCACCGTGGTCACGTCTGCCTGCTACCTGGCGCGGGGCAGCAACAAGCTTTTCCGCCTGCCCCCAGAGGTGCTAGGCTGTGTGGTGGCTGATGTCATGCCTGCTGGAGGCCCCGGGAAGGCAGCCTGTGGGGACATCTCGCCCCCCACATGGACGGTGGAGTCTATGGAGTTCCTCAGCTACCTGCATGGCAAGGAGGTGCTTGGCCTGGTGCAGAAGGTGGTGACGCCGCAGCTCATAGTGCTTGAGCTGCCTCAGCTGGTAAACCAGATGTGTCACCTAGGCCTGGCCAGGGAGGTCGCCCCCAGTTTGTTCTGCCAGGTGCTCAAGCGCTGCCTAACTCACGGCCACTTCAGGAACCAGCTCAAGTTGCAGCCTCCAGCGTGTTCCCCTGTAGCTTCCGCGGTGACACAGGCTGATTACTTCTACCCGCAGCTTCAGTTGGGCGTGACAGAGCCTGTCATAGTGACCCATGTCTCTGACCCACACCATATCTACTGCCAGCTGCAGAGCCTGTCGCAGGAGATCCTTCGCCTCTCTGATATAATGTGCCATGCTTATGACTGGTGGGAGCAGGATTTATTACCCAAAGTGGGCTCACCCTGTGCTGCCCGTGGCATAGATGGCCAGTGGTACCGTGCACTTCTGCTGGAGCTTATTGGTGGGGAGCAGGACCAGCAAGTGGCTCTAGTGATCTTTGTGGACTATGGCAGGAAGGAGACTGTGACCAGAGCTAACCTGCGCCATTTGCCTGTGGAGTGTTTCCGTATGCCTGTGGTGACTTACCCATGTGCTCTTCAAGGTATCTTAGACGGTGGCTGCGGCTGGTCCCCATCACAGATCAATGAGCTGAAAGCGTTGGTGCTAGGCAAAGGAGTGAGTGCTCACATCAAAGCCTTTAACTCCTATGAGCATCTCTATTATGTGAACCTGTATGGGAAAGATGGTGTCAACTTGAACCATCTTTTTGGGGTGCAGACTTGCTGCCTGGTGAGCAGCCATATGCAGGTCAGCCAAACTGAAACTCAGAAGCAGTTGGAAGTAGAAGAATCCACAGCTAAAGAACTGGAGTTCCCCCCAGGTGCACTTTCTGTTGCTTTAACACACGGAGATTTGGCCTCTGCTTCTGGATTTCCTGTGCATCAGGAGTTGGGTGTGTTCCATGATGTGTGGGTTTCCCACCTCCGAGACCCATCTGAGTTCTGGCTGCAGCTCCATGAGCATCGCCAGCTCCTCAAGCAGCTGAGGCAGAGCTTGTGGAATTTTTACTCCCATGCTCCAAAACTGGATGGTGCTAGCTGGGACCTACAGCCTGGATCCCTTTGTGTCAGTAGAAAAGCGGATATCTTTTGTCGAGCAGTGATCACCAGGGTACTGGACAATGAGGTAGAAATACATCTGATGGACACAGGCAATACAGACACTGTAGATCAGTATGCAGTAAGGGAGCTGGTCCCTCAGTTCAGGCAACTACCTGCTTTAGCTCTGAAGTCTTGTTTGGTAGGTGTGTCTCCTATCAGAGGGAGTTGGAATGAGGTATCTGTGTCTGCATTCAGGGAGATTGTACTGAACAAGGGACTAAAGGTTCATTTTTTGGCTGCACAGGGTGACAAATACATGGTTGACATTTTTGACCCATCTCAATTAGGAGAGAAAAGTGTAAGTAAACTCATGGCTCAGAGAGGGTATGCTGAATACCAGAGGTGTGAAGTACTTGAGACTCTGCAGAAATCATCTGATAAGGCTGTGAGCCAGGCCTTTTCCCCAGCACATGCTGGGAAGGAAAACCAAGTAAATGCGGAGAAGAGGCTCAGAGAAGAATCTGATCTAAAGAGAAGTGATAGAGCACTTAATCCTTGCACAGCTGTCATGGTCAGAGAGCGCCCTGTTGCAGCCATTCACAATTCTAAAAGGAGTGAAACTCTTCCTGCTCAGAAGTATGAGGGCAAGGAAAACCTGCCCATCCCGTGGAGACAGAGTTCTGTGGAAACGATGCCAAGTTCCTCTTATGGAGGTCAGTTAGAAGTGGGAAGTACAGTTAATGTAGTTGTGTCATATGTTGAAAATCCTGGTTATTTTTGGTGTCAGTTAAGTAGAAATTGCCGTGACCTTAAGATATTAATGACTGAAATTCAGGAGTATTGTAAAAACTCATCCAATCCATATGCTTGGCCAGATTCTGTATGTTTAGCTCAGTACTCAGAGGATGAGAAATGGTACAGGGCTCTAATTACGAGTGAAATTCCCTCTGCAGAAAAAGTAGAAGTTCTCTATGTTGACTATGGCAACAGAGAGCAGGTCTCTCTAACAAACCTCCGCTCAACTAACAAATGCTTTCTTCAGTTAGAGGCTCAGGCTTTCAGGTGCAGCCTTTACAACTTAATCCAACCAAATGGTCAGGATCCTTTTGCTTGGGACGAAGCAGCAATTAGGGCTTTTCAGGAGTTTGTCGATGCTTCCTCATCTCACTTTGAGCTGAAATGTACAGTATTTGCCTTGGCTTCGATAAAACATAAGGAGCTATTCAACATTGTAGATTTAATGACACCTTTTCAGAGTGCTTGCCAGTTTCTGACTGAGAGAGGTGTGGCCAGACCTTTGTCTCCTCAAAAGCCTCTGGTATCCTCAGTTCAGCTTCATTCTTACTATTATTCTATGCATGGTATCAAAACTGGGAGCGAGGAAGATGTTTTTATTACGCATGTTGAGGATCCATGGACATTTTACTGCCAGCTTGAAAGATGTGCTGATGTCTTGTCACAGCTTATGGATAACATTGATCGTCTAAGTGAAAAAATGACCAGCTTAAAAACCTTGCGGAAGTCTGGGAGCTTGTGTCTAGCAAGGTATACTGACAATCGCTGGTACAGGGGACTACTTACAAAAACAAAACCTAATATGGAAGTCTTCTTTGTGGATTTTGGGAACACAGAGACAATAGAGAAAGATCATCTGCTTCCTTTACCCAACGATGCTTGTGATATCTTGCTTTTGCCAATGCAGGCCATAAGGTGTTCCTTATCTGATATATCTAATGTTCCCAAAGAAGCTACAACATGGTTTAAGCAAGCTATCTTAGAAAGGCAATTAAAGGCAATAGTAGTAGCAAAGAAATCTGATGGTAAACTGTTGGTTGAGTTGTTTGATGGTAGTACTCAAATTAATGCGAAACTGAAGGACTACACAGGACTTTGTAGGCATGTAGAAGATAAAACTTTGTGCTCTAGAAATACGAATGTGAATGAGAGGAATGAGGCTGCAGAGTCTCCTTTGAAGGCAGGTAGGCCTCTTGAAAGAAATGAATGCAGATCTGAAGCCCAGGGAGGAGGGAGAAGTAGCAAAAGGCACTTCAAAGAAGATGTAAACCTTTTCCAGCCTGCTACAAAGGGAGATGTGGCAGATGGATTACTAGAGCCTGATGAAATGCTTAGCAGTAAGAAGGGTGCTTTTGTGTTAAATAAAGCAGGGGAGGAGTCTGTCATCTCCATCCAGCTGGATGCACAGTCAGATATTAAATCCAATGCTGAAGGCAGCTGTATAATGCTTAAAAAAGTATCTGATCTACTTCAACAGAAGATAGTGCCAGCTCTTAAAGTGCTAGTGTATGTATCTCATGTAAATGATCCGCTGGATTTTTATGTTCAACTAGAAAGTGATGAGGCTCAGCTTAACAGCATTTCAGAAATCTTAAACAATAGGACACAAGCAAAGAAGCTTTGTGGACAACTTTTCCAAGCAGGAGACTTAATCAGTGCTGTTTATTCAGAAGACAGCCTGTGGTATCGAGCTGTAGTGAAAGAGAAGACTTCTGACAATTTGATAAGTATACAGTATATTGATTATGGTAATACTTCAGTAATTAATGTTGATCAAGCGCACAGGCTCCCTGAAGACTTGTCATCTATTCCAGCAATAGGCATTCACTGCTTCCTAGGTGGACTTCGATGCAAAAAAAATACAGACTGGGGAGAGAAAGCAGTGCTTTACTTCACCAAGAGAACAAGTGAGGTGGTTCTAACGTGTGAATTTGTAGAGAAAGTTGAGGATAAATGGGAAGTTGTTCTCAGTGATCATCAAGGTATAATAACAGTGGATTTAGCTGAGGAAAATCTTGCAAGTAGGGAAAGCTCAACAGAAGAGAACAGTGGCACGATAACTGTGGGTGAGCCTTTGCCTCCTCAGGGTCAAAATGAAATTTCCTGTGTAAGTGATCGTAAATCATTTATCTGGAAGTTTCCAGAGGCAGGTCAGACTGCAAAAATTCATGTCACAGTGGTAAATGGTCCAGAATACTTTTGGAGTCGTCGTGCTGATACAGAAGCCATGAACTACATAGAGGAAAAAATAGTGGAAGCTGAAAACCTTGGACTAAACTCTTTGAATGATTGCAGATCTTGTATTAAAAGTGGTGATATTTGTCTAGCAAAACACAGTCAAGATGGAAAGTTCTACAGAGCTAAAGTCAGTAGCATAAAAGATGACACCGTGGTTGTTAGACATGTGGATTATGGAAGTGAGGAAGCTGTTAGCATGGAGATGGTCAGAGAGATTCCATGTGAATTGCTCAAAGTACCTAATCAAGCATTTGCTTGCTGTCTGTCAGGTTTTAGTTCTTCAGAGGGCTCATGGCTTAGTGAAGCAAAAGAGAAGTTTTATGATATGACTGAAAACCTCTTATTAGAAGCTGAAGTAATAGAAACTCAGGAAGATAAAGCTTCTGAAGCTACTCTCTCTTTTGTCAAGCTGGAAGCTTCTGGCAAGAGTATTAATGAAGAGATGAAGTCTTTTTGGAAGGCTAATAAAGGAACTGGTGACAACACTTTGTCAAACCTTGAGAACCCCTTAAAGGAAAACAGATCTTCAAAGGATGATTGTCTCAAAAGAGAAACTACTGCTGTTTGTGGATTAGCTCAAGAAGAAAGTGAAGGTGCTTTACTTTGTTCTGAAGCTTTCCTGGTTCTAACTTCTGAGTGTTTAAATACTGTAGAAACAAATGTGTCAGTGGGAGCTGTTGAATCTATGTCTGGGAAGGCTGATGATGGATGTGAAACAGCTGAGCATCAAAGCAACTTTGCTAAAGAGATACCTCTACCTGAAGGAGAAAGCAATGACAATGTATTACTAGAAACAATGAGAAGCTGTAGCCTTCATATTTGGGGGAGTGAAATGAAAGCTTCAGAACAAGAATTATGTGAACTGCTGTTTGGAGAGGATGCTGATCTGAAAGAGGAACTGATAGGCGGTGCTTCAGCAGCCAGTTTTTTCCTGGGAAATGAACAAGAAGTGCAAGGGTTGCCAGTTCTCCAGGTACAGTCATCTTTGAGTGATGAAACAGGGACATCAGTGGAACTGGATCAATTACAAAAGCACTCTTCATATGGTGATCTAAAAGAGTTGATGCTGGAGCTAGAGGCACTTTCAGTGCCACTCTCCTTTGGTGAAGAAACAAAGCAAGCTCTGGAAACAGAGTCGCATGAAGTACAAACAGCTTTGGACAGTGAAGCAAGAGAGAAAGTGTTGGAACAAGAATTGTTTGAACTGCCAGTTGTGGGTGAGGAGATGGGGGAGTTGGGGGCTCTGAAATCTCTTGAAATCTTACCATCACTTCATGAGAGAGAGAACTTGGTGCCTTCAGTTAGCAATGGACTGAATACAGGAGAACTGATTCCATCCAATCATCTTGCTTTGAGAGAGAAAGCAAAAAATCTGGAATTTAATTTGTCTGGAGTTCATAAAGCAGAAGCGATACAAGAAGACTGGATGGAAGTAGAGCCTCCTCCCCTAAGGCTGTCTTCACTTGCTGATGGACCTGAGAAACAACTGGACCAGAAGACCCATGACATGCTGTCAGTGCTAGGTGCTGAAATGGAGCAATTTCTGGAACTGATGGTGCCTGGTGTGCAGCCATCCTATGAAGATGGAGAGGATGACTCGTTGGGGTTGGAACACACTGCACTGGAAAGTTCTGCAAATAGTGGAAGTCAATTTTCCTTTCTTACAAAAGATGTAATGAATCAGAAGTCTGTTTGCACTGTAAAATCATGTGACCGCAAACTTGAGAAACATGAGGAGAGGCAGAAGAAGGAAGATGATTGTTATGTAGAAGAATGGATGACACAAGACTTGACTGACTTTTTTGAAGGATGTGGAAATACACGCGTGCAGTCTTCAGACTGTAAGCGTAGGGATGAAGAAGTAGAAAAAAACCTGAATGAGAACTTGGCTGACTGTGGTGCAGGTAAAGTGATTTTAAGGAGTTAAATAATCAAAATGTTGTGCATGTTCAAATATGAGAATAGCTTTCTTGTAGAAATCTAAATTTTATTCTCCAATAAATTATTATTAGTGTTAATGTCAGTATGCTTTGGGTTAAGGACATCATATATTGTGTCTTATGGATAATGTGACAGTCTAACAGCAACTAATGTTACTTTTGAGATGTTATTGATTTTATGATTGGAAATTAACTTCTGAACATGAAATGCATTTTCAAGACTGTTCAAGATGACGAAAATTTAACTTTCAAGTATTAAGTAAATAGTTTGGAGGGAGGCAGCGGAGTATGGGGGCAGGGTTGTGAAACATTTGAGTTTTTTGGAGGGGTTGGTTTTGTGTTTTATTTCTCTTTCTTCTTCCTTCATTGATATGTCATCATTCTTGTAGAATACAAGCAATATACTTGCAATCTGAAGGGTTTTGCTGTCGGTTCCAAATGTGTGGTGTGGACTTCTCTAAAATGGTGTGAGGCTCGCATTTTGGAGATATCTGAAAAAGGTACCAGAGTAAGTATATTTTGAATCCTCTTTCTGCATTCTTAAGATCTGGCCCTCCTTTGGTCTTCCTCCAAACTATGAATATTTTATTACAAAATTTAAGAGTTACTATTGCAAACACTGATTCTGGATGTATAGACTACATAGAAACAGCAGTATCTCTCAGACCAAGTGGATTCTATACATCAATACTTGATATGCCCTTCACATCTTATTGTCCTGCATTGGCTGGGAAGACTGAAGAATCTGGCTTCAGTTTGAGGTACATTCTCATATGTGTGTGGTTCTGTCTGGCCTGCAAGTTAATGTTCTGCTACGGAGCTGTGTTACTGTTATGTTCATGAAACTTGGCATTATTTTACTGATGCTTTGAGGAATTAGTGGTATAACAGTAGAAATTTGGGAAGAAACTTAAATTATACCCTAATTAATAACAAATACACAACTATTCCCACTTCAGTGCAATGTGTATTGAATTAGTGGTTGATGGCAGTTAACTTTAACAGTAGATGATCATCTCATGGGCTTGTTCTACTGTTGTTTAAGATATTGGGATAAATGAGGGGTCTTCCTCCAGTTCAGGGGGAGTATGTACACACATATGTATATATATAGAGGGAGACATTGTACTTACATAAAAGGGCCTTTATGTTGTAATTTAAGGTTACAAATCCAAAAGATCATTTCTTAAAAGTAACCTTTTGAAAGATCACATGCCTGAGATCATCTAAGCCAGCTCTTTTGCAAGTAGATTCCTTGCATATCTGAAGCCAACCTCGGCTGTTTTCAGATGAGTGTCGGTGTCAGGTATGTAGTAATATCCCTATTCATAATGTTCCTACTGGTTCTGATCCTAGTAGGTGTCTTCCAGCCTTCCTCTCTCACCATACATGGTTGGAAGCCCAGAAGAGCCTTGAGCAGATTCAGTAGTGATAGTCAGCTTTATCAGAGGTTAACTCGCTCTTCCTTGCAAGATCCAGACTGAAAGCCTTCCTAAGGCAGGGGGTCCTCAACTATGTTTTCCTACTACTATGTCTTATTTGCTGAGTGCATTCTCAGGATCCACTGCTGTGCTAGATATGTTTTGGTTCTGTCTCTACAGGTCTTGAATCTCTCCAGTGGCAATGAGGAGATTGTGGGTCCGGAGAATGTCTGGAACGGTATTCCTGACTGGGCTGCCAGATCATCTGAGGTATGGCAGTCTGGCAGGGGACTGGGCAGGACAGTACTGATTTTTAGAAAGGGTGGTCTGAGTCTAGTTGTGATTCTTCCTATATCACCATGAGAATAGAGAGGTGAAGTGGCATTAATCTAAATCTGTGTGTCATGCCAACCACTAGAAGCACAGTATTCTTTGAGACATTATATTGTCCTTCCTTCTCTAATAGATCTCTATGGAGGCTATAGCAATTTGTATAAATCTATTATATAACTGATTTAATTTATATAAACTATTCATATAAACTGTCAGCCATTTGGCCTGAGGACTGTGAATTCAGTCTGGGAAGAGATTAATGAAAGCAGCTGGAAGGAAGGAATGTTACTGGAAGACTATTGTTAATCAAGAACTGCAGAACAATGCTGATGATAAGTGGCTTTTAACAGAGCATGTTCATAGAGAATCCAACTAACTGGTAACCATGAAAAATACTCCTATTACTAAGTAGTTAAGAAATGATAGTAAGGTTTTCACTAGTGTTCATGAAGTACCAATGAAAGAAAAACTTATGTCTGGAACCCAAAACTCAGGTCATCAACCATGTTCCTGAGGATGGTAACAGAATGAGTTTTCAATTCATTCTTCACATGCAGTTTTTGCATCAAAGCAAAAAGTGGGCAAAAGACTTCTGTAGTGAGTTTTAAGGGGGGAAACAGTGGTAAATTTGTCTAGCAGTGCTGATGTAAAAGGTCTAGTATTAAAGCAAGCACCTCACCTCAATGAAAAACTCTCTTGGCAATAGTGCCAGCTTCCTAACAGAGTTCCCTTTTGTTTAGGCAATAACCCCTGCAACAGAAAACTTGTGCTCCTTACCAGAGGAGTCCTTACTTCAAGGTAAGACTATCTTAAACCTCAACAAAAGGTTGTCTACTCAGTGTTTGGATGCTTTCTAATTTTCTAGGAAATGCTTTAGTTAGAAAATACGGTTGAAACACTACTTTTTTTTTTTAATCTTATATATTTAATACTGTTGTAATCTTCTTAGGAGCATTAGCTTATATACTGTCTTTTTCATGGTGAATACATGCAATGAAAGCTGCAACTCTGTCTTGATTAGAAATTAATTTAGTATTTATTTATTCAATGTAGTGAACTGAGCCTCTTGGACAAGCTGGGGTGGGACACTTAAGTTACAGCTTTTGGTAGGGTTTTGAGCATCGACCACCAGCATGCTACTTACTCTTTCTCACATTTCTAAGTCAAGGTGAGTGACTGCTAGGCAGTCTCTACTAAGCATTGTGGGTTGGGGTTTGAACGCCTTTAATAGATCTTGGTCTATGAATCTAAACCCACATTACCATCTTAGTTGTTGTAAGGATAGTTTTTGAATAGCGCATGTACATCTTTATTGTTACTTAAAAACTGTGAAGTGTTGCTGGTGAACACCTATTCTGTGTCCCAAGGGAAATAGTACAGATTCTGTCTGATTATATACTATCTCTGTAATCTATGGAATTGAAGATTAGTTCTGGTTGAAAGGGACCTTTGGATGTGCTCAGAGCAGGGTCAACTAGATCAGGTTGTTTAGGACCTTCCTTTCAGGTCTGGAATCTATTCAGGGACAGAGACTCCAGAACCTCTTTGGGCAGCTCGTTCCTGTGTTTGTCCAGTGGTTGCCTGACGGAGACTGAACTAAGCTTGAGTTAGAGGTAGCATGTGTGGTTTCAGGGATTGAATCGATAATTGTATTTCAGCACAACTGTACTGAAGGCCGACTGGTTTGTCAGTAACAAAATAATGAAGCCTGTAGCAGAGATCTAGTTACCTGCTGGGCAGAAAAGTGGTTAAAAACTTTAAAATGTTAAACTGATGAATCTACAAATCCTCCTTCAGTTGCATCACTGAAATGCAGGATTATTCTTGATCTTGCTGTTTCTGGTTTTGAGAATACTTTTACAGTTTTTACCACATCATTTTATTTTTTTTTCCCCTCTTTTGCTTGAGAATTATTACTGTCCAAATTTGTCCACTGTATATTTTGTCTACTTGAATACTTTGCCTGGTATTAGTGTAGGCACCCTCTCAGTGGCAGCACAGAAAACATGAGCTAAGCTGATGCAGCCATGTGGCACAGAGCTGGATCTTGCTGTACATGTGGGCCACTGCCTGGAAAGGCAGTTTGAGTAGAAAACTCCTGTGGTGGCTTATGCTCAGCCCACTGAGGGGTTGGAGTAGCTTGAACTCATAACTGAAATCTGGTCACGGTGCTTGCTTCATCTTCTTGGGCAGTTCTGTTGTTTCAGCTGTCTTTATATGTTAACTTTGCATAAGAGTAGGTACGGTCCAGTATGTTGATGACATTTAGTCCGAAGCCTTGTAGAGTTATGACTTCAGATATTAATGCATTTATACATGTTTATAGAAATGTCTTGATGGGTCTAATCTGTTTTTATTCCCTGTAGAAAAGCAAATGGGCTGCAGTTCGGATTTAGCTGAAGATCCTCATGTCCTCCAACATTCCTGAAACCAGCTGACATGTTCTTCACGTGCAGCTGAACAAGTACCTGTGTCCGCAAACATTTCAGGGAACAAGAATACAAGCCTGTCACTACCATACTTCCTTGTCAAGGAACAGTGCTGGTTGATAGACTGCTGTTGTCAGCTTGACTTCTTATAGCCATACTTTACTTACATAAGAATTTGCTTCCTGACTGGCACTGTGGGGTGGTTCTTGAACAAAGATTTCTTGTGAGTTGCTGTATAGGTTAGTGTTGCACAACACTGCTTTCTGATATCTGCTTTTTGAAAAGTTGCATTGTTAAGTGTGGGGTTTTTTTCTCTAAGAGAAGTTGAGGGTACCTTTCTGTTGTGGGGAGGAGTTTTTTCTGTACATGGTAGTTTTGGGATGAGTTCTTGCATTTGGTGCTCTTATAAAGCAATGGAAAAAGCTTGAATAAAGATTCAGTGGCGTATACTGATTAGTGTTCTGTTAATGACTTTGTTCTTTCCCTGTGCATAAAACCTAAATGCTGTGTGCATACAACAGCAACTTACTGCATGCAACTTTCTTCAACTGTACTACTGCAGTTAGAAGTAGCTATGCATGTTCTGCAGTTACTGGTTTTGTTTTGGCCCTAAATTGCTTTCTAGAGCACACTGTGAGCTATGGTGAATGCCGTGAAACATCAGTCAAGTACAAAATAGAACTTGTATTTATGACCTGGCTCTAAATGCACTAATGAAAGATGCAGCTTTCTCCTATTAAATATGAAGCAGACCTAACAGAAGGGTTCTGATGCTGCATGTGTACAGCGGGGTAAGGACTTCTCCTTAAAACAGCAGCAGTTTATCACACCTTACAGCTGTGTGTCCATCCAGTTACCTAAAAATACATGTCTGGTGCCATCTGAGATGCACAGGGATATCCAAAATACCAGCTTGGGTTGGTAGATACAAAGTTTGGAACAATCCTTTGCCTTCTAGAATGGTGCTGGGGGGGATGGATTTGAACTGGCAACAGACAGCTGTGTTTTAAGCAGCTGATCCACATTTTCCATTATTTAAAAACACAGCAGTTGAGACTCTGATTTTAGACCCTGATTTTTTTAAGGTGCCAAGTTCCCCCCACAGAGCAAAGTGTGAACCCCAGCCACTGTATGGTCCTGCTGGCATAACCTTTACATTTAATGCCCTTGTATAAGCACAATCCCAACACAGAACCTTCATCTTCAGATCTTTTGTTATAGAAACAACTTATATTCTCCTCATGTACATAGAAAGAGAAAAACAACCCATGAAACCAAACCCCCACCTTACACATGATTTCTGATCTGTCAGCAACACCAGAGGAAACTTACACCAGAGCCTAAAGCAGATAACAGGCAATGCCAGGAAATTAAAACTCTCAAGGCAATGCCACTGAAACCCTGGGGGTAGAGATGAAGGGACTTAAGCTTCATGTCTTGGTCGTTGGTTGTGTGAAACCAACTCAAAATAAATGCACATCCGTGAAGCAGAATGTGAATTCGAGCCCCTGCCAAGGTTTCTCTGGGAGTCATGCTGCAGAAGAGTGCAGTGCGGAGGGGTGCAGGTTCAGTATAAGGGTTGCTGAGCCTTCCCCTAGAGCACTTGAGTGTGGTTCCAAATTTAAGATCCTGGGCTTCCTACAAAGTTACTGTGAAAATTTCCTGGCCCTTCCATCTTCCCTGTCCAACAACAACCGTTTATGTACTTTTCTGTCCTCTGTTCCTGCCCTTCCATCTTCTCTGGCTGCTACCAGGCTCCAAAGTGGAGATCTTCTCCCTTCTCTCCAGAAGTAGCTGGGGTTAATCCCAGCATGGCTGCATCCAGACCCAGCTATAATGTTAATATTTTCTAGGGAATATGAAAAATAAAGTGTGGTGAAGATCTCACTAGGACTTTTATTAAAAGCCACTGGACTGTCTGAACGGATTTCATGGAAACATGTGCTAGGTACCATGTTTTGGTGTTGAGATGAACTCCAGGACTTCTGTAAAAACATTTCAATATGTTAATGCTATAGCACGGTCCTTAGCAAAAACATGCAAATAGGAGCATGTGATAATAATCTTAGATTAGTGCCTGCATTTCTATCCCTCCAGAAAACAAGGGCATCATTCTGAAGAGAGAAAATGCTGGTGGTTTATTTCTTTATTTCTATATAGCTTTGTGTTGTGATTTAAATTTTTGCTGCTTACACCGCAGCATCAGCCAAGACCCGGTTGGGAACGGTGGTCCCTATGTGCGAGGTCCTGTACAAACCCAAAGTCTGGAGGCAGTCTATGTGCCAGGAACCCAGTGCGGTCCCATCCCTAGAACTCCTCACATTGCTAGCAGGTGAGTTTTGAACCCTGTCACAGAGACTTGCTTAATTTTGCCCTTTTCCTCTCTGTGCTTCAAATTAAACCTTTAAAAGAAAGTCCTGCTTTTCCTTCAGTGCCCTCCCCCTCCCATGTGGCTCTTCACTTCTGATTAAGGCATTCCATTGGGAAAACTAATATGGCTCTCAGTACCTGTGGAGAATCCAAATGAACTCCAGTTTCCAGCATCTTGGATGAATTTTGCAGCTCCTGGACTCTTGGATGAAAGAGGACAGTGACTCCCCCAGCTGCTTTGCTGAGCGCACCCACCACGTGAGCAGCATCAGCAACAAAGGGACAGAAGGACCCAAGTCGTGAAT